ACAATGCTATATCTCCTTTTTTCTTTGTATTCTTCAGTCTTTCCTCTAATACTGTATTTCCCATGCATGCTCTCCTATCAATGCCTAGGAACAAGTCTGAAGCAGCATCTTCAGTCCTACTAAATGGCAGAAAAAAAGGGGAGTGGGATCTTTCACTGTCTTCTGCCTCCTCATATTACTTTCTTCAAAAATCAAACCTTAATATATATATTTGTCCCCTTTTTTGCATAGATCCTTTTATTTTAATTATTCTAAAGCACTATGGAAGTAAGACAGCATATTAGAGAAGTGGAAGTGATAGATTAGCATATCTGATGAAATACAAAAATCAAATTTCTCATTTACTGATACAAGAACATATTTCACTCAAATACTTAATACACCATGCACTGCTAAATTCTTTACCTTGCTTTTAGCACTTTTGTGCCAGGTATGCATTTCATGAAATCTTCTCTGTGTGGTAAAATTGATCAGGCCATTTTAACCAAAAAGCAAGGAGGGAAAAAAGGAGTTACTGTATGTAAGTATGGGCACACCAGTTGTTGGGTGTACCACAATTTTAGAGGCTGTCTACCTGTTCAGTCCAACCACAGTTACTGTGGTCTTCCTCAGGTAGGTATTGGGAAGAATGCATGCAGATGGGGAACTTCTACCTAAGGTCATACCAAGGAATTCTCTCTCCATTGAATTCAGAAGAGATGATGACTAATGAGCTGGAAAGATCAAAAAGTGGAAGCAAGGACTAAACAATTCTCCAAGTTCACAAGAGCAGGCTGGTTCCTCTCTCCTGCTCTAAGAGTCAAGCAACCCCAAACTGCAGTAGGAAACTTGGGGTAAATAAAATTGTGATACTCCTTCTGCAGTGCTAAAACCAGCTTTCTAGATCAGTAAAGTATCCTTCTAATGCCTGCCAGAACAGGATGAAAAACTAGATCAATATTGCTGCAGCATGAACAGGTAGTATCAGCTGCTGCTTTACTACAACTGCATCAGGCTGTCACTGCCCTCACATCCTCCCTAACAACCAGCTGAGCAATTTCTGGTGATCTTCTATCTCTACAAGTTAGCAACGTGCTTATAGGAAAAGGGGAATCTCCAAGCCTTTAGGTTGTTGGGGTTGTTTCTGATCCAGAGCCTTGATGCTGCCAAGATTCCCTCAGAAGACTTTTCACACAATCCTTCACAAATTATTCTGCACACCTCAGCACCAAACTTCCTTGGCAGCCAGCAAAGACAGTATAGTCAACTCCTGGAACTATCTTACCAACAAGTAAGAAGATGGCAATGAAAATATTATCTTTTTTGTAATCTGTTGCTTTAGTTGCAATGGACTATGGAAGACCAATAGCCAGAAGGTGACAGAGCTAAAAAATATTAACAGGGACCGCCTATTCCCTCACCCTTCCCTGCCTTTCATTAGCTGACACTGTGCAGTTTTCCTGGCTGCAGGGATCAGGGTGAAGGAGAGCAAGGCAAAATACCTACTCCACAAGTGGGCCTAGAATGGCTTGCATTGATTTACATTCTGTGGATATGTCTACTTGAGTATCTTAATTCAAATCAGAAATGTGCTTTGAGGGAACTCTTCCATTTGCCTGAGCTCTCCACATCTTGGTTCTCTCTTGGAACTGTTTGGGGTCCATGAACAGGGTGACATTTGTATTAAATTAACTTGAAAGCTAGGATCTCTTAGAGAATGCCTAATGTGCTCCAACCTTTCTGGGCATCCAATTGGCAGAGACAGGCAACAGCTAGTCCAGGGTACTCCTCAGGACACATATAATGGGGTGTCAGGTCCTTGGCATCAAATGTTGTGCTGTCACGATCAATTTGTCTTGCACCACACCACTTCCTAATTGACCTCTGGCAGCTACCACAGTACCTAGAAGCTACTCCTACATACAGAATCAATCTTCCTAAATGAGATACAGGCTGTGACAGATGTCTCATTTAGGACAGCACATTACATAGATTAATTCCTCTAGATTATAAAGACCATTCACTCCATCCTGTTAAATGTAATTTATGTGTCTGTAATTAAAAAAAAAGATAAAGTGACTGGTAATAATATATTCCTTCATCATTCTAATGCACGAATTTGAGCAAACACTGTAAAATAACCAAAAACTCTTAAGACAATCCATTTCTGCCCTCTGAATCTCCAAGCACCCTCCAGCATTTGCAAACAAACCAAATTCTCGTTTTGCCAAGACTTTTGAGGAATGCACATCAATGGGGGGACTGAGAAGGGACATTCAAAGTCAAGGTTCAGCTCAGTCACACTAGGTGCCTGTTTCGCTTTTAGTACATCTGGACTTCAGACACTGAACCTTTGAATGCTGTACAAGGAAATACATCATTAGTGTTATTGGCTGTTGCCTTTGCTAAAATCTTACACATAATAGTTCCACTTCACTGTTTCACTACAGTTTCTGTTACCAGAAAGCTCCAATGATGTGCTTTATTAGGCAAATCCACCCTTAGTTAATCTAGAAATGGGACCTGTATAAACAGAGAAATTTAGGATTGTGATTAATATAGCAAATGTAATTCTGCCATGTAATTTAAATTATATGTAAGTCATGTTATAAATCTGTAAATGCTTCTGAAGTCTGTAGGCTTCTTGCCAGCATTAATATTGGTAGAAAGTAAGAAATATTTCTCTGGTGTTTGATTGCTTTTCAGCTCCAGATCTGATATATTCTCAAAAATCTGTCCCAGTCCTCCATCTTGTGATATTCAATACAGTTTAAAAATAAAAATTTTTGCCTACATATAGATTGCTTATACAGGTGAAGTACTTTACAAAAGAACATGAGCTATTTCAATGTTTATAGCTTTTTGATGACACAAACTATGGCAAAGTTATATTAAGCTACCTTGACACTAACTTATGAAAATATATTAAATTTTAAAGATTGAAAATACAAACTTTGTTTAATTTTTCATTATATAATGCATACAAATGTTCATTGAAAAATATTCCAATGAAGCAGACTTTCCATGTAAATCACTCAGGGAAAAACTGATTTTCCATTTCATAGAAGTATAAATCTAGGGATCTAAAACAAAAAGTCATACAAAAGCTGTTAAATCCCAAACACTGCTTAATAAAGATTACTGATACTGATGCAGATGCAGAACAAATGCATACTCATGCCGTTTAACTCAGCATAATCATGACAGAAGTTTGTGCCATCTCGGACTCATGGGATAAGGCATCAAACTGGTTCGTGGATATGGTCCCAATATGGAAACATGATGCAGTTATCCATTGTTAGGATTTTAAATTATCAGTCTGGAACTTAAACTAACTGAAGGTGACTAACCCAGGAGACGTCAGGGAGAGGCAGATCATGGAGACATAAAGTCATAGAATGGGTTGGGTTGGAAAGGACCTTTGAAGATCAGAGAAGATAGAATCTTCTGCTACCTCTGGCCAGCAGTGATAAGCCAATATTGCTTGAGTTATTTACTGATTTGGAGATAAAAAATTGAAGTTTAGTGACTGTGCTCAGATATCATGGATTTAGGTTTTAAGATATCAGCTGGATTTAGCTTCTTAAGAATTCAAAGATACAACTGAACTTTCTCATGAGCACAAACTGACTTCTTTTAAATTCTAGTTTTAATGAAGTAACAGGAAAAGAGGGAAGAATTGAAATAGTAAATTAAACCCATCAGACAGCTACATCGGGACTGTGTGTAAAATCATTTCATTCCTTTAGCAGTCAGGGTCTGCACTCATTACCTGGTGCATACCTAGTAAAGGACTGCTGGAGCACAGCATTCTACTCACCCGGATTGGCAGCTGTGGAACCAACACAGCATCTGCTGGGATCGTGTGAGCATATGTGTGCGAGCACACACGCGCACACCCACACACCCACACACCTACAGCCTCCTCTACGTTTCCAGAAAACACAGTGGAAAAGAACATGCAGACCTGGGAACAGGGACGCGCATCTGCATTCTGCGCTATGGATGAAACCCACAATATTTCATATGTGTCCAGGGAATGTACTGAATAGGAAAGGTAAGAAGGATGTAAAGTAAACAGGGACCACCAGTTGACTCACTTTCTCTAGCCTTCATATTCACCTGTTAAATATTGGCTGATAGTATAAACTTAGGGCTGGTGTCATCAGGGTGAGCAAATATTCAGGATCAAAACCTAATAGGTATCAATTCTGATCCTACAGTGTTCCCAGTGTCCCCAGATGAAGCAGTTCTAGGTAACAGTCAAAAGTCACTAGCTTGTAGCTAAGCTTGGGCTTTTTCTTTCTTTCTCATAAATTTTAGTTAGTACTTCTATCCCTACTGAATTTCCCATGGAAATGATAGCAAAATTCTGAAGAAACAAAGCCTTATCTCTTTGGAAAATAGGAATCATTAATCCTACACAGGTGACCTGATGAAGGGATTACTCAGCTAATGCAGTACCTTCCTGCCATCTTGTGGCACTGCAGGTTTTGCAACTCTCAGTTTGTTATATTGAGTAATTTTTATTTCATATTAAGTTAATGGTTTTTGAGTTTCAGATGTCATCTAGTTAAACAACACACACACATACGCTGAGTGAAATCTTGGTCTAGTAGCAGTGTCAAAACTCCTATTGATAAAAAAAACTTCCAGATTGCACTAATTGTATTAATGTCAAGGTCGTATTATGTGAAAAATGAAAATAAATTCAAACTAAATAATGTAAAAATGAGTTTCAAAGATTAAATTACTGTTATACTGAAATAATCTGTAGTTATGTCTGAACTAATACCTTGCATTTCTATCGTGAATTAATCTATATTTTTCAATTGGGATGCTTTGGTGGTTTTTGAAATAGCTACCTCCTTTTCAAGTCTACCTGAAGAAAAAAGAAACTGCATCTTTTATATGACTTCAGGCAAGAGTCTGCAAGGGCTTGTTCAAAGTTTACTTATTTTTCAAAAATAAAGGGACATATGAGATTGTGCTACTGTCCAATTTCCTGCTCCTGCTTTCAGGCTGGAATCACCAACACGATCTTTGAGCATGGATGCACCACGAGGAATTAATATCAAAGCACAAGCTGGGAATATTGAAGCTCTTTCACAGATGGATATCAAACTACACAGCAGTGATGGTGTGGTGAGTACAAGCCCTTCTGTTTCCATAACTATGGTTGATCTTCCTGACTGAATATAACTTCAAGTCTTTTTTTCAAGTCCGGTTATTTTAATTCCTCAGGTTTTAGGAGACAGTATATTAAAATTAATAGTGCCAATAATAAGGCTTTTATTTATGTAAATAATACTACCAATTGACATAATGTTGTATTAGCTTAGAGAAAAGCTCTCTAATAAAACTTGGATAGCAGTCAGCTCCCCATGAGCATAGTGATCCCCAGGCATCCCAGTGGGGAATCCTGGCTCAGAAATAGCCACTCAGCCCCAGAGTGGGTAAATTAAGTAGTGAAGCTCTTCAGACTTCCTGCCCTGTCAGCAACAGCACACAACATGCAACAGCCTATTTATCCCCTTTGCGAGGCTGGACCATGCCAGTTCTTCCACAAAAGAGCTAGAGATGAACCCACATCTGTCCTTAACCAGCCAGCTCGGTGGTGAGGCTTCAGCATTCAGGCCAGGACAGACTGGGACAGACTGGGTCCAGCAGCAGTGCTCATGTCCTGTTATTCAGTGTATGGGCAGGGACTCCCTCTCTTATCTTAGAATCATTGAATCAATTGTGTTGGAAGAGACCTTAAAGACCACCTAATTCCAACTCCACTGCCGTGGGTAGGGACACCTTCCTCTAGACCAGATTGCTCAAAGCCCCATCCAGTATGGCCTTGAACACTTCCAGTGATCCACAACTTCTCTGTGCAACCTGTTCCAGTACCTCACTACTGAAAGAAATTCTTTTTTATACCTAATCTAAATCTACCTTTTCCAGTTTAAAACCAGTATCCCTGACAAAAAGAGTCCCTCCCCAGCTTTAGTGTAGGCCCCCTTTAATTACTGGAAGGCTGGTTCTTCCCAGAACCTTCTCTTCTCCAGGCTGAACAACCCCAACTCCCTCAGCCTTTCCTCATAGGACATGTTCTCCATCCCTGTGAACAACTTTGTGGCCTCCTCTGGACTAACTTCAACAAGTCCATCTCTTTCTTATGCTGAGGATCCCAGAACTGGACACAATACACCAGCTGGCGTCTCACAAGGACAGAGTAGAGGGGCAGAATCCCCTCTCTCGACCTGCTGGCCACACTGCTTTTGATGCAGCCCAGAATGCGATTGACTTCCTGGGCTGCAAGTGCACATTATTGGCTCATACTCAATTTTTCATCCATCAGTACCCCCACATCTTTCTCCTCAGGGCTTCTCTTAATCTACATTCATCACCCAGCTTGTATCCACGTTTGGGATTGCCCCAACCCAGCTACAGGACCTTGAACTTCATGAGGTCTCTGCTAATGAAGACGGTGGGCATCAGCTTATCCCCACATGTGTTCCAATGTCTGCCAAGAGCCTAGCTCTCAGAGCAGCTTTGTATATAACAAGTTGGGGTAGAAGGCCATTCTTAGACATCTGTCTAGACAAATTCAGTTTATTTTATGGCGTGTTATTACTTTATTATCTCTAACAAGCCCATTTGTCCTGTTTTTTCCCACACAGCTTTTGCTTGATGCTGAAACTGTGCGACTGCCCAAACTGCCTGAGGGTACAAGGGGTGAATCCGGTATTTCTCAGGGGCTCTATGAAATCTGCGTGTGTCCAGATGGAAAGCTCTACTTGTCAGTGGCTGGCGTGGGCTCCACCTGCCAAGAATACAGCCGTGTCTGCCAATGAGGCACCAGAAAAGGCCGCACACCCGTGCATCTGAGTTTTATATTACTGCTAAAAAGCATTACTGAAAGAGTATTTTTCAGAATTTAAAAAACAAAGTACTTCAATTTAGGAAGCAAATTTGTATCTACAATTCTGGACTACAGGGTGTAAGGGGAAGAAGAGCACAAATGACATTTCAGCTTCAGAAGAATGACTTGAATCAAATTACATGTTCTGTCAGTAACACTTTGAAAACAGCCTTATGGAGAGCATAAAAAAATAAAACTAATATGTTTCCTTGCTGAACTATTATTCAGTTCAGATGATTATGTCATTGTTCATATTTTTGAGATCCATGGGTTTTTTCTCTCACTAGATGTAAGCACTTACTGTATTAGTGGGTGAATTTAGATTGAGGGAACTACTTGAACTATTTGCTAAGAAAAGCATTATTTGGAGAATTCAGAAAGTGCCAGCAAATGGTCTATGCAATTTTGTTCTTGCAATAACACATGATATAAAAATGTGATATTTGTATAAGTTCTCTGTAAAAGGTGTTAATTTGCTAAAGCTTTCTATTTTAATTTGGCAACATATATGCTGATTTGCTTATTACTGAGATTCATATAAAAATAACTAACAGTAAAAGCTCCAGAAGTCGTTAATACTTTTGTGCGTCTCAATTCTGTCCACTATACAACAGAGAAATACGTTATTAAATTTTATAATAGCAGTTGTTTGTTCTACTACCCGTACTGTCATATTCATTTAAATCCTTTTTTATTTTAGGACATGCTAATTCAATAAGGCAATTTGTTCTGCCAGCTGGACCACTAAAAAGAAAAAAAGTGTGGCTTCAGATTGTCTGACACAAGGAATTGTTTGAGCAGTGGGGAAAAAAGTTCTTTTATGCAGCCCACAGGTTTCAATTAACAGGAATATTTTATTTCTATCTGCAGCTGTTGATTGATATTTCTGATCCTGACAGAGTGGGACTCCATCACAAATGGACAGAATAAAACTGCTCTTTATTTTTTACATTAGGACTTGGGTTACAAAATAAGTGCTCACCAGAGTTGACAAACTCTTTATTAACCTTGTAAAGAAACACAGCTGCAGACCCATTCCCCTGTACAGTGTTGCACTGAACACAAATAAATTGTTTGCACACCTCTGGGTAGCAAGATTTGTATTTAATAGTCTGTTGTTTAAACCTCATGGGGTTTTAATTCCTTTGATGCTGTTTTGTATACACTTGATGGTGTTATTATCCAGGAAGGAGCTGCTATCACACAGTGCCTTGGTGTCTATTTTCAGAAGGATTTTAACCCATAGTTGTTAGTAAACCACAGAATGTCCATCCTTTGGAAAAAATAATAATCATCCTTAAAACAGGAGAATTGGAACAAAAGAGTTACTAACTTTTTTTAAACTTGCTACTTCGGCTCTGTTGAACAAGGGAAGAAAACCAACACTCAGTTAAGATGCCTGGTACACACAAAAGCCTGAGCTGAGGAACAGTCCCCTGTTAACAGCATCCACTATTATTGTGGTAAAGCCCTGGACAGTCCCTGCCTCAAGGGCTGCCTTTGCAATTTATCTAACTAGTCTGATGTACAAAACTGAAACTGCCCTTCAGCATTAATTGTGGAGCCCCCACAACTAATGCAAGCTAGAAGAGCTTCAATAGGGCAAGTAGAAAATGCTTAAGCTGAGCTTAAGCAATTGAAGCAAGGTCTCATGTTATTTGGAGACTGCTCCAATTGCTAATACATTCCCTAAATGAGAAGTAGGAAGCCACACTTCTTTGACATCTGAAATTCCCTTTTCCTGGGCTTAGACTCACTCACTCCTACCTTCAGGAGCAGGTCTGAGGCTGTTGGCCATAAAGAGAGGAATTTAAATCTCTACAACAATATCTCTTGATTATATCTGCCCCTCTAACTAAGCCCTCTTCTGAGGCAGACTTTAACAGAAACGTGTCTTCAGTATTCCTTAGTCAGTTTAGGTGGTTCCAGCTCCATGCATAAGCTTTTACAAACCAAATTATGAGCAGACTTAGCTTATTCATTGGATAGAAAGTATGAGTATTAAAATAAAGATCAGCAAATACCTTTGCATGTGCCATATCCCTAAAAATGCCTGCTACAAGAAGTAGCTTGGAGGGCTATAATGTCAACAGTCTCTTATAGATGTAGTATTAACAACAAAACTGGGAAGTGCTTAGAGATTTCAGTCACTGTCTAGTTTCAAAGGCATTTGAATTGTCACCCTTCCCAAATTTCTGACATCACAGAACATATGCCCTCTTCCAAGTAGTATCAAACTAATCATTCACCTAATCTAATCACTGTAAATTAGTTACAAACTGCCTATCCTGCCAGCAATAGAAGCACAGCACTTTAAGTTATATTTATGTTATATTTTAAGCTTTTGTTTTGGAGGCACATTTTCAAATGTCATTTGCCAGTTAACAAAGAACAAGGGATTGAACTTTCCATGTATCGCAAGAATAACCTCTAACTTCTTGGTATATGGAAGCCACTTCTGTTGCAACTTCTTACACTGATGTTGTGCTGTTTTAGTTAACGTTTTTACAGAACTGAGGTCTACAGGTAGGACAGTAGTGTTACCCTGACTGGTAACACTACTAATGGCACTTCATTTAGACATTGCAATAACTACCGCCTTTCTCATACAGATAAACCTTCTGGACTTGCCTCAGTTCACAGGTGGATTCTGAGTATTACTGAAAAATAAACAGGTGTGCTGTACCCTCAGTTCTGCCATCACCCAAATAACCAACTTGCCCCTTTTCATTGCTTAAATTTCATTCTTCTTATCATTATGCTACAACATTGATCTCAGAAGTATTGTTGCAGTATAGAAGTTGTGTACATTTTTTAAAGCATGGATGGCAACATCCTAACACTGAAGAACATTTTTTGGATCTTTTTTCTTTTAGATGTGGTTGGTGGTGAAACAAAATTTATACTGAAATTACTACACTGTAATCAGGTGATGCTAAAATCTCAATTGTTGTTAATTACAATACAGTTCATACATCACTAAATTATCATTTCTGGTATCTCCACATGGATGTCTTTCCGTTTCTCTTTAATACTTAAAAATTACTGTTTCTATTTGAATCAAACTTCAGTAAATATTTACAGATTAACAGAAAATTATGGCACAGGGCAGTGCGAGTATGCAGTTCTCTAATTTATTTGTAAAAGTATTATCCAAATGGAGAAGAGAAAAAATCACTACCAGCATAGTGAACTGTATTTTTTGCATATTTACTCCCTCAAAAAGAATTATTTACAGCAATTCTTGTAACTGGTTGCAATTGTTACACAGCAGAAAAATTATAGTAAAACTTCATTGGTGATTGCCCAAACTCGACCCTTTTTGTTTCCATTTTACAGTCCTTTAGTGTTTACACTTGTCTATCTTTATATAGCTTTATGCAAAAAGAAATTGCAAGAATTGAAAACTGAGTTCTTGAATAAACTTTATACATTTTGAAAAGTCTGCTTCTCCTTTTGTGTTCAAATGAAACACAGCTTAAATGAATGTTTTCATTTTTGAACAAAATTATCTTCCCAAGACTCTAAGAATGTGTGAAATGTACAGTATTTAAAAATATGAACAAAAATCTTGGTCCAAACTAAAAATGTACTTTGCAGAATTTAGAAAATGCTTTACAAGTAGGTTTCATCGGACATCTAGAATTCTTTGTCTTAATCAGTAGTAGGTAAAAGTAGACAAAAAAATTACTCCAGTGGTACTGAACTAATCATCCAGAAAACAAACCAAACAGTTTTGATTAAAAACTCATTGACAAATCCCTTCATGTGACAAAAATGTATGTCTTCTTCAAATGAAAACATTTACTTTGGCTGTCAAGTTTAATTATTTTTGAACTATTACTTCTGCCTTTGTTACATAAGACCAATCCAACCTTTCCCAAGTGTTCAGGTCCAGCAACAGAAAATCTCAAAGGTAGTACTACCCTCCTCTACTTTGATTGGAGCAATTACAATAGATTTAATTACAGCCTTGTTTAAAACAACCCATGTACCAAGTGAATGCAATCCTTATGGTAAGTTTTTAAATCCTATTTTCCAAATCACCACAGTAACTTTACTGATAATGATATGAATACAAATCATGCGAAACTGCATTTTTTACACAATAAACCATTTATTTTTCTTTTGGTAGACAGATACACAAAAATCTATTTCCTTAACAAGAAAAAAAAGGTATTTTTCTTGTCTCTAATTGCTGAGGCAAGTGTTCAGTGCTTTTTAAAATAGCTGTGGTGTGCCACTGTTTGAGAGGAAAACTTAAAGCTTCCACAGGAAGCTAGTAACAAGCCTGTCAAGGCTTCTTAAAACTGCAGTTCCTTAGATTTCAGCTACCAAATGTATAGTTAAATCAGTCACCTGTACTATTGATTTTTTTGCTAAACTTCTCAGCTATAATCCTGGGAGGCAAGACTGCTGAAGCTCCTTTTCCTAGATACAGTGCTGGTACCTGTGGAAGATAGGACATATACCTGAACAAAGAGACATTTTCTCTAATGTGAATTTGTGTAATGTGCAGAATTACTTGTCAAATATATTTTTGTGAAACCTATATGCTAACATTTACTTCTACATACCGTTACTAAGGAATCATCACATCTAACTGTTCTAAGCTTCCACACCCAACTCAGGCACATTGCCAAGTCTCCCAGCTGAGCTAAAAGGAAGCAACAATTAAGCATTTTATTTATGTATTTTTATTTTTAATCAAGAATTAAATGGCACTTATGAAATCAGTTTCTATCACAATATGGTTTCCTGGTCCCACAAGGCCTCTTTATTTAGGCTAGCTGTTACAGTGAATTAAGCAAATAAGAAAAGAAACTAAGAGACTTCCAGTTGAAACACCACTTTTGCCTTCCTCTCTGCATCTGTATGTAAATTTTAGTTTTATTCAGCTTCTATAATAGAATAAATTAATTTTTTCTGTGTCATTCAGGTTTTCTTGCTCATCTTGGTTCAATATTTAAAATTGCTTCAGATCATTATCTTCCTAAGAACTGGGACCATTTTCTTTCTCACAGTGTCAGCACTTAACAATATACGCAAAATAAACAAAAATTTTAACAAAATAGTTTAGTGGTTCTTCCCAGCCAGTTTAACAGTTCATAAAAATAATACTGGTAAGGCAACATAAGTTGCTTATAAAACACAGCTAGATACTTAAAAGATTTTCTTTCTCAAAAGGTCACCTAAAAACAGGGAAGTGTTCATGGTGCTCCTGTTACTCTTTTGCATGCTGCCATGCTACCTTATGTTTTAGCTCCCTTTAAAATGAAAACCGTGAGAACTGTTTCCTTTTCAAGTATTTTGCTTATCCTCAATGCTATTCATCTGACTTATTGCACAAAGCAAGAACCACAAAGGAATCTATTTTAAAAACATAAGGAAATAACTAAACTGATTTATTTCATGGCACACCAGGACTTGTGTTTTACTTACATGCTGTTTATTGCAAAAAATCAGCAAAATGCACAATTTCTTTGAGAAAATTGCAAACATTTGTCATTGCAAGAAAAAAGCACGTTTCCTTTTCAATAGTATTTTAATATTTGTACAATTATTTAGAATTAATTGAAAAGAGATTGTGTATTTACCTATAGAAAAGAAAGCTTGAAATAATAGGTAAATTTAGCATATTTTATAAAACCAAAACACATTGGACTGAAATATATGTTTGCATTTTTCTTTATTAAAATTATGGCACTTAATGTTTATTAGCAGAAATAATAACAGGGCTCCACAATCAGAAGCAGTATCATTTTCCAAATATCACATTTGTTCAAGAATGAGCCCTTACAATTTACTCAAAACTGAAGTAGTCTTCATCACAATTTTTTATTTTCGGATTACAACTCTATCACAGCTGTATCAGCCGTGCAAGCTTGCTGTTCTTTATTTTCCTTTGTATTCTTTAAGTTAAATTGCAGTTTCACTGTGCTGTCAAGTAGACAACTGTAATAGCATGTCACTGGAAAATGTAACATTTATGTTTAATGTGGCTGATCCAGCAAAGAAAAATCCTTCCATTTAGCATTATCCTTCCGTTATTTATTTTTTAAAATTTTTTACAAAAAGCTAACGTTGACCATATTGCATGACATTACCAAAAGTATTACAAACTATAAAAGAAAGAGTGTGAACTAAAAATAAGGTTTCTCTAGGGCTGTAGTGAATAACAAAATAAAAAGAGCATTACATTGCAGCACCTTTAAACATGTAACAAAAAACAGTGCTCTGTGTACACCAAAAATGGGTTACTGAGTTCTACTATTATCAATGTTTGTTTGTGGAAAAATATATATATATGTACACACACAAAGGCACACACACAGGGGGGAGGAAAGAAACTCAAGCATTTAGACATCTGAAAACTGAGTTTTGGTGTTCAAAAAACAAAGTCATAAAACACCATATAATAATGTTCACAGATTTTATAACATCCACATGCATTTTTCATTAAACAAAAGATGACAAGCTCTAGAAAAAAAAGAAAGTAAATTAAATACTTCATTCTTTTTTAATAAAGTAAATGCAATCAATGCATGACACGACATTGCATGTTAAGTCAAGTATTAAAATAACTGTACCAGTTTACCAGTACTAAACTATCCTTTAAACGTTAACAATGTGATGTTGCAGCAAATTTATAATCAGATCCAGCTGATAAGGGTATTACTGTGAGTGGCATGAATTTCCACAGAACACAAAAAAATACAGAAATGCTTTGGAGCAATATCTCCAAAGTTATTTTAACTTCCATCCTATCTCCCATTTCATTTTATGTCCAGTCTTAAGACTAATACATTGAAAACGGACATTAGCCTTCAGAAACATTATATTAAATGAAATAAATCTAATAAGGAGTTATAATTGCAGGCTTCATCTAACAGAAAGCTCAGCTTTGGTTATATAAAGTGCAGTTCAATAATATGCCAATTAATCACAATGTTGTACATACAGCTAATTTCTGCAGCTCAAATTCCTTGCAAATTCTAAAAA